GTCTTACATTCGCTATCAAACTCTCTTACATTCGCTATCAAAGTCTTACATTCGCTATCAAACTCTCTCACACTCGCTATCAAACTCTCACATATTCGCTATCAAACTCTTAAATTCGCTATCAAACTCTTACATTCGCTATCAAACTCTCTTACATTCGCTATCAAAGTCTTACATTCGCTATCAAACTCTCTCACACTCGCTATCAAACTCTCACACTTGCTATCAAACTCTCTCACACTCGCTATCAAACTCTCTTACACGTACTATCAAACACTCTTATACGTACTATCAAACTCTCTCACACGTACTATCAAACTCTCTCACATTCGCTATCAAACTCTCTTACATTCGCAGTAAAAACTCTCTTACACGTACTATCAAACTCTCTCACATTCGCTATCAAACTCTCTTACATTCGCAGTAAAAACTCTCTTACACGTACTATCAAACTCTCTGACAGAGTTTGATTGCAACGGAAGTTAACTTAAAATATCAGTTTCTGATTGGACCCCAGGCAGGCTTTTCAAAATAAAAGCAGACCTCCAGTTTATGTTTGATTCATGTTTCTCTCCTGTGGCTTTAAAAATGTAAAACTTTGTGTTAATTGATTTGCTAAAGGAAATCATGTATCTGAAAATAAATTAAAACATATTATGTTGGCAAAAAATTCTGTAAACCACATATGTGCTACCTCAATCAAAATTGCTGACATTTGACATTTAACAAATCTTTCAGATTACATAAACAATACCTTACCAGGTACTTTTCTGACTTCAGGATGACACAGGGACACCTATAAGACCAATTTTAACTGAGGTTGCACATATGTGCTTTACAGGATTTTTTGCCCACACAATATTTTTTTTTTCAGATACATAATGTATACTGCTCAAAAAAATAAAGGGAACACTCAAATAACACATCCTAGATCTGAATGAATGAAATATTCTCATAATACTTTGTTCTGTACAAAGTTGAATGTGCTGACAACAAAATCACACAAAAATCATCAATGGAAATCAAATTTATTAACCAATGGCAGCCTGGATTTGGAGCCACACACAAAATTAAAGTGAAATGTTCCCTTTATTTTTTTGAGCAGTATATATTAGTTGTTTCTGAAAATCTGCCTTCAGGAAGGCATCACAACATGGCTCCTCTATTCACTCTTTAACAATGTTTTTTCCCAGCGTTTCACTGAGAAGTGGCTTGCATAATAAGTTCAGGTGATGTGCAGTTTCACCAGGTGTTTGCTGCTGGCTAGTCTGAAAGAGCTGACTGGGCGAGTCAGATGGGAGGGCTGCTCTGTGAAGCAGAAGCTCAGAAACTTGGAAAGTGCATGAATGACTCAAGGCAACACTCCAGGTATGTTTTTGATGAGGGAATAACTATAACATGATAAAAAGCTCATAAAAGCAGACTTTACATAATAGTGCCCCTTTAAATTGTCACATTGTTTACCTTTCTAGATCACTGTGTGGCAAGAGGTCGTAGCAGCCTTCAGTGTAGTCATTCTGCAGCGTCTGACGGTCAGGGAAGTAGTCGGTGGTGAGGGGGAGGCAGGCTGGGGTAGTCAGGGACTTCCAGTCCACCCCCACCGTGCAGCAGAAGCTGGGCACTGTCGGGGGTGCAGACAGCAGCAGGGCTTCACACACAGACACAAAAATCCCCACCGCAAAGAGCATGACATGTACCCATAGTGGAGAGGCACATGTGTGGGAGGGATTTGAGAGGAAAGGGGAGTGAAAGAGCAGGAGTCAGGAGTGAACAGATATGGAAGACATGAAGATGGAAAAGAAGAAAAGATGATAATGCAAACACAAAAGAAGAAGAGAGGGGAAGAAAAACAGAAGTGTTACTTTTCCTGACTCCTTCTCCCCTGCTGGTGATTCCTGCAGGGGGAGTAGCTGTGCAGCAGTGATCAGACATGCAGATTGCACTCCTGAAACAGTCACTCTGTGATCCACATCACCCACAACAAACTGAAAGTGTGTCCTAAGCTCATTCAGGGTGCTGAGTGGATTTAAGCAGAGAAATCTCATTATACATGCTAATAAAAAGTCGTAGGAAAATTCCTAATCAGAAAGTTTGTGACAAAGTAGCAGACTGTTTAAAGTTTGACAGAATCACCCAATTAATTATCTTCAGAGAGAGAGAGAGAGAGATGTGTGCTCTACATGCAGCCATGCAGATAAGAGGCAGAAACAAACTAAGTTTAATACAAACAGATCATGGTGAGGTGAAATCAAGGAGCTCTAACTGATTGGCTGTAGATAACAAAACTCAGAAATACCAGGAGAGATTCAAGAAAAAGCTTAGAAAGAAATGGACAGAAGGAGGAGGATCCCACATGACCTGTGTGCGGTGTCTCTACCTGCGACCCCTGTCAACAGACGCCCACTGGAGAACCCTGTCTGCCAAAGCTCAATAAGCCCTCACAGGTTAAACACACCTCTGAAGGTTTATGGTCATCATCAGTTTGGTGATTAATGACAATTTCAGCCTGCTGGTGAAGCTGTACGACAATTTGAGCAAGCCTTAAAAAGATCTCATTTTAGTCCAGCAATGATTGGGTGGACTCACTCGGATCAGCACCGCTGGAGAACTCCTGGAAGGAGGAGCTTCGGTTGCTCAGAGGTCCTGCACACAATTTCACAAAGAGAAAGCAGCACAGTTAGGAGATTTGTGGTTGACTATTTACACTAATGATGCATTCATTGTTTTTTATACATTTTCCTTAAAGCAGCCAAACATTTTAAAGTGCTTTTATTTGACCCTGGTCATATAAGAGTCTAATGTATGTGAAAATAAAAAAATCAGGTCTGATGAGGGAAAACAACAAAATATTTCTTTACAGTCAAATGTTCTTTGAAACCTCTGCATATAATGTTATTTTTTTAAGAGTTTGTACATTTAACCAAACCAACAAGGAAGTCCAACTCTAAACTGCATGTTTAAACCTTTCATTTTCTTTTATGAAATCATGACCCTCCAGTTTTAAGCAGACATACCCCTCCTACCTCGATCTCTTTTAACAAGAGCGTTTTTGCTTTCTTTGCCAAATGGTATTATATGTTTTTGGATCTTTAAGCCAGATATTTTACTGCAGCTGATATCTCAGTCTAACAACTGTTTTTATTGGTTCTGGTTTGACTCCTGTTTCAAAGTGGGAACTTCTAGCACTGGGCAGTAACCTGGGGACCCTGATTATTTTGGGGGCCCCAGTGCCAGGGTATCAAAGATGTTCTTTTTGTGTGTGTGCATGCGTGTGTGTGTGTGTGAGTTTTGCAAACTTAGTACACTTAGTACAAAACTCATAGGCCTAAATTAGATGAGCTGTATTAATATTTGGGGAATTCTGTGAAGAAACTACATTTAAGTATCTGAAGTTATATTTAATTTCTTTGGGAGCAACATGGAGTTATAAATGTGAGCAGCAAAATCTGCTCACATTTATTGAAATGACAAATCATAACTATAATTTAAGTCCAGGTGGTTTTATAAAGCCTGTGTGATGCAAAAATAAATATGATTTTAAAATAATACAAGAAACAAAGAGCACAAAGCAGGTTACGCATAATTACAAAATTATAGAAAAACGAAATTTGTGGAATTGATTGTTTTGATATTGATTTAATATTGACTCCATTGATCCAGTTCCCCCCAGTTGGACTGACGCATGTCTGTGTCTGTTGTTTGTAAGGTTGGCTTCAGACTGTAGGAGTGAAAGCCCTTTTTTGTTTTTTTACCAGTCAACAGATGTTGTCCGTAAGCAAACAGATGCTGTGCTAGGAGATACACCACTGCATGTTAATAAACACATTATGTTTCTACATCAACTTCATTCTTGTTTCTCAACTTCATCTAGAATACCTGTAGTATGATGAACATCTCTTAAATATCTCTTTCTGTAATTCAAAAGAAAACTGTGAGATTAGAGTAAAGAGTTTCTTCTGACCAGAGCATCTCCTTCCAAGTGTGCTCTTCCTAGGTGAGTTTTAGGACAAACCACATATCCTACAGCTCTCTTAGCCAGAGGCCAGTGCAGCTTTCTGTAGTACCAAATGTTACCACCAAACTACTTTGATTACTGGTGGAGTCCATGTTTTGGTTCATCCTCTTTTAATCTTCAGATGGTGGGTTAAAGAGAGAGAGCTGTGTCAGATGTTCAAAGCTTTAATATTGTTTTGAAACCTAACTTAGTGGACAGATGTTTTCCGTACGATGTCCGGTTTGGCCAGAGTGGCAGTAACACTGGACCCTCTCTTGGCTCTTTTTGGTTTCAGTGGTGAGGGGTTGCCTTTACCAGCCTCTAAACGACAGGCACTGGCATTTTGCTCACTGTTAGCGAGACGCACAGTTCTGACCAGATGGAAGGGTGCTGCTCCTCCAACTCACAAGCAGTGGTTATGTGACCTTATGTCGTCGCACTGTGAAACTGGAAAGAATTAGATGCTCTCTTCAACCCTCAATTGGTAAATTTGAAGACACATGGGGGTCCTTTCTTGGCTCATTTCAAAATGCACAATAACGCTCCAGATTAATTCATTTTATTAAAATGTGCTCTGTTTCCGTCAGGGATAGGAATGTAGTGTGTGGACCTACTGGGCAGTGACCTGTGTGGCCTAAATGGGATTACTTTGTAGGGATTAATTTTCTGTATATTATTTTATGTCTGTCTTAGATAAACATTTCTTTGTATTCACAAACTGTATGCATAAAAGGAAAAAAAACTCAACAAAAAGACAGTGATAAAAAAAACCTAACTTTGCTTATGTTTCTCTGCTCACCTGTTCACTAATGTTCTCTAACTAACCTCTAAGGGCTTTGACTGTCTGGTGGTCTATCATATAAAATACATTTTAAAAGACATAAATCTACTGAGACCTTCCCAGCTCTTCTAGCTGTCAGAGAGAACAGTTTGGTTCTAACTAACTAGATGACTGTAGTAAGTAGGGAAGAGTCAGTAGTGTGGAATGTCTGACTCTTAATCTGCTCCACACTGGCAGAAAGAGAAAGCTGCATCAGGAATCTACGGCACTAGGAGACATCAGTACGGCTGTTTGAGAAGGATACCACAGCTGATGTTGCTCCCTGGACTCCCCGTGAACTCTTCCATTCCTCCACAGATGTAAAGGCCGTTCTCGCCTGCTTGCCTGGAGGTTGTTCGCCTTAAAGACAAAGAGAAATTAGCATCTCTCCATCTTCCATCTTCCCAGGTGGAAACTGACTGCAGAAGAAATGCTTGGTCCCAGGATGAGTCCGTCTTACCGTCCTGTGGCTTCATGATAAGCCAGCTCCAGTAGCTCAGCAGATGTGTGTGTTGGATCTTTCTGCTGGCTGCCCTGTAGCTCTGCCATATTCTGCCTGGTCTGGTGATGGATCTGGATTGCCTCTCCAGAAGGACCTGAAGAATAAAGTAACACACGTTGCCAATTAGGTGAATAATAGTATATTTAGAAACCTCCATTTTGGTTAAGACCTGATTGAAGAGAAAAGACTTTCCCCAAAGACTCGGGATTCATAGAGTAGACCTGTTACTACAACATAGTAGCTTGTTTTCTTTACTAAATCTTTGTCTATATTCATCTGATGTCGAAAAAACACAATTTTCCAATTTCCCAATTTAGATAAATTAAATTGAAATCAAACTTGAACAATCTTGTTAATGCCATAGCTTATTAAAAATTATGGTAGCGACAGCTGTAAACAGTAACATGAAATATCTTCACAATTCAGCCATGTCACTAGCCCTCATCATCAGCCATCAGAGGAGATGTTGCCGTCTTATTCTTATACTGCATTTGACCTGAACCTTCAGAGCCACATTAAGACAGTCACAAAGTCGGCCTTCTATCACCTGAAGAACATTTCCAGGATTAGAGGACTAATGTCTCAGTGAGATCTAGATAAACTCATCCATGCGTTTATCTTTAGCCGCATTGATTACTGCAACAGCGTCTTCACAGGTCTGCCTAACAAATCAATCCTCCAGCTGCAGCTGATCCAGAAGCTGCTGCTGATGTTCTCACTAAAACCAGGAAGATGGAGCACATAACACCAGTTTTAAAGTCCCTACACTGGCTCCCTGTAGCTCAGAGAATAGACTTAAAATACTGTTAGTTTATAAATCACTGAACGGTTTAGCACCACAATACATTAAAGATCTGTTATCGCTGTACCAACCGTCTAGACCCCTCAGGTTCTGGTTCTGGTTCTGCTCTGCATCCCCAGAACCAGAACCAAATGAGGAGAAGCAGCATTCAGTTTCTATGCACCGCAGATTTGGAACAAACTTCCAGAAAACTGTAAAACAGCTGAAACACTTGGGTGCCTTTAAATCTCAACTTAAAACCACCTGTTTAGAGTTGCTTATGGCTAAATTAGGGTTAGAATGTGGGTTTTGATGTCTTCGATGTGTTTAATGTTTTTATCTTTTTTAATCTTTTTCAAAATGTCTTTCTCTTTCTCACTGTTTATTCAATGTCACATGCTGTTTTTATTTTAATTATATAAAGCACTTTGAAATGCCTTGCTGCTGAAATGTGCTATACAAATAAAATTTGATTGATTGATTGATTGATTGATTGATTGATTGATTGATTGATTGATTGATTGATTGATTGATTGATTGAGGAAATTGTAGTCGGCCATTTTACAGAAAAGCTATGGATTCACCACGTTAGAATGACGCCCAACTTTTTATGAGCTGTGTGGTGCTATGAGAGCTCTGGTCATTGTCAATGAAACAAAATCAAACCATCATCCTCCTACAACTTCCTGTCGTCTTCTCTAGTAACATCCAGCAGCTGTTAATTACGTGACTTGTTTGATGCAAAAAAAATTAAGTCTGTTGCGGTTTTGCGAAATATGTCTTCTTCAATATGGCTGAAAAATCACCTCATCCTACTGCAAAAATGTGAGTTGTTTTTTTTTTTATTGGTGTGTTTCCATTTAACTAATTTATTTTCATAATTTTGATTTGTGCAGTTTCATGATCAAAAGAATTAGTGATGTCTTCTCACCAACAGGGAATGTATGCATCCAGCGGCGCCGGTTGGAGGTCAGCTTCATGGGCATTCTGGATGGTGTGAAGGGGTTTATGAGAGCTCTCTGAGGAGTGTAGCCTCCAGGACGGATGTGCAGGGTGGACTCAGCACTGCCCACTGTGAACCTGCCGGGGGCGCTGGAGTCCCGCTGAGAGTCCATCATCTTCTCCAATAATTCTAAACAGCAGCATGGAGGTGACCACAATGAACACATCACGATGGAGGCACCAGAGGTAAACAGTAAGTTACCTCTGGTGCTGGTGTATCCCAGAGAGCTGCTGACTTCATACTGCGCTGGAGGACCCCGGGGGATCAGCAGCATGTTGGACACTGGACCCAGGCTGTCGTCAGAGGCCAGGCTCGTCTGCTCCTCTGTTCCCCCTGAGCGAACAGGAGGAGACGTGCCGATGCCGGTGCTGATGTCCACAGAGCCCCAGCTCTTCCTGCCACTCGTCTCTTTGTCTCGACCAATCCTAGAAGAGAGGAAGCAATATTATGGCCCCAGTTTGTGGAATGGTCTGCGAGAGAACCAGAGGGCTGTAGAAAATGTTGTCTTCAAGAGCAGCTCAAGACCCATCTTTTTAACTATATTTTCTGAATTGGATCATTTCCGCTCAGTTAATGCAACTTCCATTTAGTTGTGTGTTTTTCCATGTGGGATTGGGATAGGTAATTCTTTTTTTATTGATCTGCACATCACTTTGAGCTGCTTCTAGTATGAAGGGTGCTTTGTAAATAAAACTGACTGACTGAAGCAGCTGTTGTTCAGGATCAAACTCTCTCTCAGATTGATTTTTCAAAAGGGACTGATCAAGTGAAATAACTGATTATTTATGTTTTTAATATAGTTTTCTGCATCAGCAGCGCAATAGTAGATCTGGATTACCTGAAGTTGGTGCTCCTCTGAATTCGTGATGGACCTGGAAGTCGGAACACCTGAGCATCATAGGCATCGTAATCTACCTGTATAGGCAGGCTGTTGTCTGAGTCCTTTGGAGAACAAAGAGCTACAAGAGTCCATCAGGTCAGGGTCAGATTCCTTCTAACAGATCAAATAGGTGAGATGGTGAATGGTAACTTACAGTGGTCTTTGTTGTTCTTCTGGATCTCAGCATGAGGCTGGAAATAAGATCAGTGTTCACCAAAGTAAGTTCAGACGGTTAGCTAGCAAAAGAACAATAGTAAATTAATTAGATGGGCAGACTAAAAGACGTACCTTCCGACCAGCCAGTTTGATCCGAGGAGTGAATGAGCTGCAGGAATTCTGGCTTTTGGATGTGTAGAAGCTGTAGAAAAGAAACATTAACCCTGATTTCTTTATTGCACAGTAGAAGTCAGAAACACTCAAAGCTAAGGGCAGAAACAACAACTGGATTCAAATTTTGATTCTTGAACAATTTTACTCACATTACAGAATTTCACAGTAATGCTATGAATGGATTCACCCTGAAGCATAAGGCTCATTTTCAAAGTAATTATATTAGAATTAAAGAACGACAGAATATCTCAGTGCTTTAGAATGGATGTCAAGTATTGAGTGAGTAAAACAGAAATTGGCTTCTTTTCAGAAGAAAATAATTTGGTAAAAGTAGTTGTAAGACCCATTCATATGTAGAGACCTATTGAGTTAATTAGAATATTATTGTAAATCACATTTATTGCAGAAACTTTATCACACACTGAAACACATTACACAGTTTAATTACGCAGATGGATGCTTGGAAGTTTTTATTTCTGCTAAGTATGATGATTTTCTGCTTATAGTCAATGAAAACATGACATTTAACATTTGAATTTTACACGAGACCAAGAAAAAACTATTTTAAAAACAGAAATATGAGCTTAATGAAAGCGGGTTTAATACCTGCATAAGGGTTATTTTCAAGAGTTTTTTTTAAATTTCACAAACGAGACTCATCAGGACATACCGTATCTTCCAATTTATTGAATATTACTGTACAGTGCTGATCAGAACTCTCCATACACTCATCATGATGGCAAACATTGAAGGTCATTACACAATAGAACTGAACTTTGCCAGGGAACCATCCAAATGAAATGACATCCATCAATTCTGAGAAGAATAGTAAGATGTTTGTCAGAAGCTTTTTGATGGCAACAGAAAGTGTGGTTTCTCTGTAACTGGCTAAATATTAGCAAGAGTGTATGTGTTTACATTTGAGCTTCTCTGCATTATTTTTAGCCAATGTGATTTTAAAGAAATTCCACCCCTAATTCTAAATATTTATTCTTGATTTACCATTTGTAATCTCGATTAACTGCTCCTACCTGTGGTTGATCCAGTGGGGAAGGTTGTAGTCGTTTCCTACACGTGAGTCTCCAGGTGTCATTTTGTTGTGGAGCTTAAGAAATGACAGAGCAGAACTTGTAAATAAGCATTACTACCATTACCAACCTGCGGAAATCTTTATCTACATTAATGCTGAAAAAGCACAATTTTGCCATTGCAGTGTTTCCATTAAGTAAGAAATTAAATTAAAATCACACGTGAATATGCTTGTTCATGCAAGAAGTCATTAAAAATTATGGTAGCAATGAATGCAAACAGTTACATGAGATATCATAATGCAGCCATGGCGCTCGTCATCATCCATCAAAGCAAACGTTGCTGTCTTATACGCAACAACAAGCCCCTTATACGTTGGAGTGGCTACATATGTGGCATTTTGGGGAAATTGTAGTTGGAGATTTTACAGAAGAGCTATGAATTCAACACGTTAGAATGACACCCAACTTTGTCCCAAAAAAACAAACCCTTCTCCTACTACTTCTTAACTTCTTTGTGGATTTTGCCAGTAGTAACATCCAACTGTTAATCATGTGACCCGTGTGATGTGGAAAAAAAGTGTTTCCATTGCAATTTTGCAACATACATCTATTTTGATATAGCCAAAAAACCACCTTATCTTGGAACAAAAACTTTATCAAAAACTGACGTGTTTTATTAAGTGATTTTATTTTCGTCATTTAAATTTGCGCAATTTTATGGTTAATGGAAACTCAAGTACAGGCTGATACTTCAGAATGACTCACCTTAAACAACGGCACAGCGTGCAGTGGCTGCTCACCCATACACACCAAGTCCACACCGATGCCTACATCAGGTCAATACAATTTTATTGTTCGTCTCATTCATACTTCACATGTTCCCTTCATTTGTGAGGAAACAACAATTGCTTTCAACAAAATACTGACCATTATCAATCATTCGCTGTTTAGTCAGTATCATAAGCAGACGGTCAACTTCAAACACTCCTACTCCTGGAGTGATGACCACGGACATCTGACCAGTGCGGTCAAAGTTACGGTTGATGTAGTGCTTGTCAAACACTGAAGGAGACATGTAGAACGTATATTAGTCTTTGTAAGGTAAAACGAGTAAACATTTTCTAGGGGTGTAACAATCCACATCAATTAAATTAGTAATGATTCAATTACATCGAGGCAAAATGAAAATATTTCCACAACAACATCCTCATCTTTAAAATTATGCATTTGAAATGTGTTTCCATTTTGATGAATAGGTTAAGTGATTGTGTTCTGCTCACATGTTTTGTTTGAGACACTAAAAAAAGATGAAAGCTTAAAGTCTTCTTAAATGTACTGGTATATAAAAAGGGACTGAAAAGTTTGTTAATTTATTAAAGCTTAATATCTATCACATTTGTTTCTATATGAGTGAAAGTTCTTTTTTTTTCTTTAATTATGTAAAGCACCTTGAAATGCCTTGCTGCTAAAATGTGCTATACAAATAAAATTTGATTGATTGATTAAGGGCAATATTAAGCTAATGGATTAAAAAAAATGAACTAGAGCATGAAAAACACGAGATTATTTTGAACAGATTATCTATTTTTTATCAAATTAAAAAATGCCTTTTTTTCATTTAAATACCATATTGTTCAAATTATTAATTATTTTTGCAAGTTTATATACATGTAATTAATGTGCTAGAAGGGGATTGTTTGGATGACATGTCGTCATCCAAACAAATCTGGTGACTTAGAGCCCTCATATTTTCACAAGCATCAAAAAGACATTAAACTCGTTGATCCTTTTCATCTTAGCAGTGAATAATTTCAGCATTAAACTTTGTTTACTCTTAACTAGGAGCAGCCTGGTTATCAGTGGTTTAATATTCTTTTGTTGCCTTGCCAATAAAAGTTCTGAATGGACCGGATTTGTCTTATAAGTCATAGAGTAATTTAGCACCACCCTCCTCCACCTGTTTCTGTGCATTGCTCATTATCTGGTTGAATAAAGGCTTAAAAACCACTTCAATCATGGCTTTCAAAAAGTGACTAATTCTTCTAACAACAATTAGCGACAGTCCCCCAAAACCTGCAGTGAAACCATGAAAACTAAAGGAGCACCAGTTGTTACCAACATCAGATTAGGTCACAGACTGTCTTACTTTTATTACATTTCTGGCAAAAATTAAATAAGATTATGTTTCACATTTTTATTTTTAAAGTACCAGGGCATTTTTACTCCCGTTAATCATACAGTGATAGCTGAATACTCTTACCATTGTAGAACTAAATATCAGACCAACACAAAGAATGTATTCCAGTACATCTAGAATATATTCAAACTAACTGGGGGGCTATACTGTAGGTTTAACCATTAAATGGTTAAGCCTCATATGTTAAGACCATTTGCTCCAACTATTTTACAAATAACCCAAGTAAAAGTCTGTATGAGAGTCCAACATCTCTTTTGAAAGATTTTCTAAAACTGATTGGGGAAAAATTTACCTATTATTTGACGTAAATTTGATGAAACCTTTAAATTTTTCCCATGTTTCTACCTTCTTCTACAACACAAAGAAATGTCTTTACCCACAGAGCCACAATGTTACAAGAAGAGATTCAGTCTTACACCACTCACCGTTAAAAGAAAGATTAATGGCCTCCAGGTAGTTTCCCTGCACTGCAGTGGAATTATAACCCACAGGAAAACCAGCTGGCATCAAAGGAAATGAACAAAAACTTTAGGTTATAAATGGATTCCGATTCAAAGGTCAAAAATTATTTGGATTCCTCCACTACCTGCTTCTTTAAGTCGAACCAGAAAAGGGTACTGAATGAAGAGTTTCTTGATGGTGACCAGTAGTGACGTCCACTCATCCCGTCTCTCATTCTGAGCCACGACCCTGATCACAAAAGTGCATGTTGACTGCTTCCATCAAACATCGGCATGGTGTGGGCTTTCCTTCTGTTGGGATGCTTACCTGTAGAAGTCTTCATAATAGCGTCCCTCATGATTCTGTCTAACGGATCCTCTTAGATTCTCAGGAAACTCCTCTGAGGGGTTTAACAACATAAGCAAAATTTTATTTTAATATTGCTCAGAGAACAAGATTAATCATCATATCCACTCACCCAAAGTTTTGGCGTTGTAAAATGTGCGTGAAAACAGCACAACGGTCACTTCATGACTACAGTTCTTCTCCTGTTAACATGAAATGTTATAAATGTTAATCTTTTTTTAAGTTGCTTCGGCTGATTTTCCTGTGGAAATTATTATTATTATTATTTATTTTTTATATATAACTTTTGGTGATTTTTTTTAACATCCAATCTGAATTATTATAGGAATACATATAATGGAGTATTAGGGCAGGCGAAGAAAAAGAAATTGAATATAAGAATAAAGTGATAATGTTATGAGAAGAAAGTTGTACTATTACAAGAATAAAGTCAAGGTCAAATTTATTTACATAGCACATTTTAGGCTGTAAAATGTGCTTTACAAGGGAAAAAAACAAAATGTTAAAAGGAATCAAAAGGTAAAAGATTTAACTGTTTAACATTAGACAGGGTTAGACTTTAAAAGACTAGATTAACAAAGACACTGGAAAGGAAAGGGACACAACACAAAAACATTTGTGTCAATGTGTACAAAAAGCCAGATCATAAGAGTAAGTCTTCAAAAGAGAGTTAAAAAGCTCCAGTTTATGCTGATTTATAACTTACTAAAAAAAACATTAAGGTGAGGTGAGGTAGTTTTATTTATATAGCACATTTTCAGTAACAAGGCAATCCAAAGTGCTTTACATGAATTAGAAGAAAATACAACACAACAAACCAAAGGAAAAGAGCAAAAGAAGAAAAACGAAAACAAAAAAAAGTATAACCCCATGTTTAAGAATAAGCAGTCTGTGATTTATAAACTAGTAGGGGTTTCTCTGGATTCTTGTTTTGATAATGTTGATCTAAGGTAATAAGTACTTCCTCTAGATGGAGGAGTTTCTCTGGATTCAAAATTTGTTCTAATTCCTACTCTGGGTTGAGTGAAATCCTCTGGATCTTTTTGTTCTAGCTAATCGGTTTGATCCCTGTTCTTGGTTGAATGAGTATATAAACTAGATGCTCCTGTTATAAGTATAAGTACTTCATAATTTATAAGCTACAAGAAGTTTCTCTGGATAGCAAGAAGATAAATATTGGTCTAAAGCAGGGGTGCCCAAAGTAGGTCCTCGAGGCCCGGCATCCTGCATGTTTTAGTTCTCTCCCTGGTTGTAATAACAACCTTTTCAGCTTGTCAATGTTCCTCTTAGGTCTAAAGTAATACACCATATGATTCCACGTGTGACTTCAGGAGTATATTGGGCTTTTATTTGGCTTAGCCCCGACTCATAACAATTGAGCATGAATGACAAAGCATTACCGTGACGATATTATAATGAATACAAAGGTCTCTACATTACACACATCATGTTAATCAGTCTCGGCTTGTTCCATCTTGAATCAGCCCAGCAGCTCTGTTTTTGTCTCAGAGCTGCTGAGACAAAAAGCAGCTCTGTAAACAAGGGGTACTTGTTTGCATAAACTTCAGGAGATTTGAGATAGCCAGCAAGCCAAGGCCGACTCAAGGGAGCCAGATTCAGAATAAACAAATTTTCTTTAGATCAGGCAGACTTAAAATTTTCATCATACCTAGAGTCTCAACAAGTACATCTTTGTTAATTCCAGTCATCCAAATTAGCATGGTCATTCCCACTGGGCCGGAACTAGCAACTTCTCCAAGATCAATCCCATCCTGCTAGTAAGTTTTAGCGTCCAAAGTTTGCCTACGAAAGGATCGCATCCAACTTCAGCCTCTGCCTCACAGCATGTCAGTCTGAGTGTTTGCTAGTCGGCCCAATCCATCACAAATTTGTTGATATGCCAGGTATCCGCCAACTCCAAACAGCAGAAATCCTGTTCTCATGAATCCAAATAAATCCAGGATGTATCCCTCCAGGTGTGTCCCCACAGTACAAGTGGACTGTCCTCCCCCCAGTTTTCTCATTTAGAAAATTTGCTCAATTGCATTGAGACTAGTTAACCAGACAATTTGTAGATTTGGAGGAGGTGCAAAGAAAGACTACAAAAAAGCAGCACAAAAACAGAGCAAGCAAGGTGAGAATGGGTAGTGAGGAGAGCAGAGGAAAAAAGCGTCTGCCTTCAGCGAGAGCTAGAAGTGAATGCCGCAAGGTACAGCTTAACGTTGGCCAGCTGTCTTAGGTGAAAAAAGCTAGATTGACCACTTTGGTTCCTGATCTCTGAACCGAATCTGATCATCTTAATGGATGGCTGCATTGAGAACTAACCTCTGTATATGGGGAACCCACTCCTGCTACCTCCCATCATTTTGGTTTCTTCTATTTGATTTCAAATCCTGGTCCAGATTATTATTTTTAGCCATGTTGTAATACATAAAACCTTATGATTAAAATGGGCTTCAAACAGAAGTGTTGAACAACACTAAGAATAAATTTTCAACAGGTCAAGAAGACTGGAGGTTAGAAAAACAACAACTAAGGGACACAAACCTTCCATTTAGTGAACAGGTCAGACAGGAAACCACTGACCGCCTTCTCAAAGTACAGATCCCCTAAAAGTAAAACATTCTAGTAAAACTTTTGCCTATAAAGATGCAGAAGAAGAAGCTGCAAGTCAGATACCCCTCAGGTATGACTTACCATATATGTCAAAATCCCACATCTCACAGCTCATCTGGATGAAGATGTAAACCATAGCAGACGTTGATCTAAAAACCACCTGAGAAACCAGAACATCATGTCGGCATAATTAATAACTCAACATGAAAGACGTGCTGTGAAGATGAAATGTCAAGAAGAATGCATTGAGGATTGACTTGGATGTTTTGCTCCTTATTTCCAAATATGCCTTCATTATTTTTCTAAAAGGACAGTGTGCTGAAATGATGTTTCAGTGTCTCTACCATGGAAAATCGGGTCAAATATATGGAGGTACTGCCTGACCAAAAACATTATCAGACAAGAAGCAAAAAATAAATAAATAAAAAGAAATCACACATTATATTTCCTTTCACTGTCTCTAGCTTGGATTACAGAACTCACACACAGAGATTGTTTTGATAAGCTTCTGAAATATCACCAGATTAATTTTAATCCAGTGTTGCATTAATTTTTCACCAACATCTTGTATTGATGATGGAAGAGTCTGACCACTGCTTAAAGTCTTGTCCAGACAGAATATATCAAAGATTCTCAGTGAGGTTCAGGTGTGAACTCTGTGGAGGACAATCCATGTCTCCTACTCTCTCAGTCACAGTGACATAATTTGAGCCAAATGAATTCTGGCAATAGCTGCATTTCCAATAGCAATATATTTGCACAAACTGAAATTACTAAAATAAATTTCCTTAACAGAAACATGTTAATTAAGGGAATAATAAAGGGGAAAAAAATTATAAAAACTTGTTGCACTATAATGAGGTGGCCATGTCTACAATAACTCCTTGAAGAATTTGAATTAATGACTTACAACATATAATTTCCCTTTGGGATTAATAAAGTATTTTTGAATTGAATTGAATCAAAATAGATGTATTTCGCAGAACTGCAATGTAAACACTTTTTCCCCATCACACTAGTCAAATGATCAACAGCCAGGTGTTACTACTGGTGAAAATCAGGAATTAATCAAGTTTATTTGTACAGTGCATTTCAGCATCAAGGCAATTCAAAGTGCTTTACATCATAAAAACACAAAAATACACCACACAGTCTTCTGTGTAAACATTACCAGTAAACATTATATTTTTACTATAAACATTATATTTTGCCAAGTGCCATCATTACATATCAAAATGTTGGTAAGTGTTTCATTTATTATGGTTCAAAAGCAACTCTAAACAGGTGGGTTTTTAATCTTGATTTAAAGGAACTCAGCAATTTGGCTGTTCTGCGGTTTCCTGGAAGTCTGTTCCAGATGTGTATTACATAGTAGCTGTTCTACATACCATGCTGCTTTTCCATGTTTGGTTCTGGTTCTGTGGATGCAGAGCAGACCAGAACCAGAAGACCTAAGAGGTCTGGAAGGTTAGTACAACAACAGCAGATCTTTAATGTTTTGTATTGCTAAGCTGTTCAGTGATTTATAAACTAACAACAGTATTTTAGAGTCTATTCTCTCAGTGGAAGGGTTTTAGAACTGGATGATGTGCTCTATCTTCCTGGTTTTGGTGAGAACATCAGCAGCTGCGTTCTGGATCAGCATTGTATTGCCAGCTGAAAGATAATTGCCCATGCACTAATTATCCAATAGGAGGTTTGTATCTATTTGCTTAGTTAAATCCAGGTGGTGACTTTTGTGTTTGGCCAGGCAGTGTGTATCAACAGTGTTTGTATGAAACTGTGTACAACTATGGATCAGTAAAATTAGCTATAAAAATGTCACCATATGAACATATCAAAGCCCGATTCTCCAGGAAAGCTCCTTACTCATTTATTTTTCATAACTCACTCTGGTATTCTCGCTAATGTAGCCACAGGTCACTTTTTCTCCTTTCACCCATAATTCACTGGCCTGGGCTCTGAAAAAAAATCCCCAAAAACACCAAAAAGTTAACAACAGTAAATATTAACACCAACTAAACAGTGTGTCGAATGAAGAGTAGCACCCGAAATGTCATAATTTATCAGTTTTGATGTCAGCTTAAGGCACACTTTGGTTACAGGTCACGTTTTTGTCCATGTGGACTGGCTGAGCAGTGGAGGAAAATCAAGCTGTTCAGTAACGCAGGATTTCAGGTTTACTTTGAAGCTTCAAAAGTCTAATTGAGAAAATGTTCCATAGGCTGATCTAGTTGGATCACTGCATAAACTTAAATACCATGGAAAACCTTTCAGTCTGGACAGTGTGGGAATAATTACACTGTTCTTCAGGTTTAAATACTACAATATAAAAGCGTCAAACCGCCTCTCCAGTGAATGTTTTGTATGTAACTGCGCATATGAGGCGATGGTTCTCTAGACCAAGCAGATGTCTGGGACCTGTGGGATGGAGTCGGGACTTTATCAAAACATTAAAAAGAGGCTGTTCAACAGTTTGCTGAACATTTTGATAAAATAAGACTTTGCACAACTTTTGTAGACTGTATTTGGCCATTCAATAATGTTCCTGGTTTGGTGTCTTTTTTATCTTTCCAGTAAGGGTTTGATGTGTAAAATGCAGAGATTCAAGTCTGATTTTTAAAGTCGCGATTTGACTCAAAAACTATTTTTAATTCAGAAACCATTTCTTCTATGCAAACACTCTAGAGATTCTGTTTACATTATGTGACTGAAATTAGCTGTCTGGTTTTTTTAAAAAAAAAAAATACTAAAGACTGTCTTGCCCACTGTATGTGGGCAAGACAGTCTTCTATGTGGTCGAGTGAATACGTAATGCAATATGCAATGCACCCACAAATACGAGTGGCAAAGATGTACACAATTAATTTTTATTTTATTTTTTGAGGCATTTTGAAGAGACTCAGAATTCCCAGGAACAGGAATTGTGATTTTCTATAGAATCAATATTTTCTACAAATGATTGTTTCTAGTCACCAGATTTATCAGCATTTCTGTCTGTTCTTCAGGTCTGCCTAGTAAACTTGAAACCAGATGTTTACATATATTGTATTAAAGACTATACAACTTTTTGTCACACACTGACATTACCTTTAATGTCTCTTTAGACATTTTTTAGGGACGGGACTTTAACACATTAGTTTTGATTAATAAATGACAGATTTTCTGAGGTCCAAGTAGATCTTGACACCACATCACAAAGCACAAGAGGAACATTAAGGACATTTTAACGATGAAAGGAAAATTGAAGTAGAACAACAATATTGTAATGTCATTTGTCCTTATATTGCACAATTTTATTTTGCACAGAACTAAAAAACATATACTTAAAACTGCAAAATTGCTGAAAAAAAATTACATTTCAGGCTTTTAATCCCAAATTTCCAAAAATTGTTCAAAGTCAATTCAACATCAAGTGCTGTGAAGCCAATGTAACAACGTACCTGATTCCTGCAAACTCCACTTTCTGAGTCACATAAGCACATGTGCTCACCTACAACATAAATGACATAAATTACACACAGCATTAAACAAAAGGCCAAACCAAAAAACCTACACTAGGATAGAAAAATGTGTTCAGTCTCTCAGGGCTGCAAGAATAACAAGACAGAATTATCTTGCTGTTCAGGTTTCAGTCCGGGTTGGGATGTTCATGCAGCTTTTTTTGCTATCTGGGTAGAGCTTGGGTAATGCATATTAAACTTTAATTCTGCAGTAAAAGGGAACCATAAAAACTTCACAAATGTATGACAAATCCTGGCCAGAAAGAATGTTGTTCTTGTTATTGCCACTTCAAGGGAGGGGGTAATGGAACTGATTTCCTTGTTATTGTGGAGTATGCATTGGCAGCATTCACATGACCCACCAGACTCTTCTTTAGCCTCCACATGTCTCCTCTGCCAATGTACTGATCTTTGAACGTCAGTTCCACCAGATCGAGTGTTACATCCTTTTGGTGGAAAACACAAAACTGTTAGAAATCCTGCACTACCAGCAAGTGAAAAAAGTTAAAGTCAACCAAAATAAAAGCATACCTTAGGGTCAACTATATTAACAATAACATCCTGATAGGCACGAAGCTTGAAAGCCTGTGCTACGGTCTGGTCCACACTGATGGTCTCTGCAAAAGAAGATGATGTCCAGCATGATGATGCAAAGCATGAAGTCATTGCAAAGGTTCTGCAATGTGGTATCAAGATATTTATGGACAGATTTGATGGTTTATGCTCCAAGATGTAAAAAAAAAAATTAATAACTTGGAATGTGACAAAACAACAAAAAAGAACTAACTTTTCTCTACACAAGGTTCACTTCAGCCCAGGAAAATAAAGTGGCCAAAGACGAAAGTTTTTTTTTCCCCCCACTATCCACCAAGATGAAAGTGGATAATGAGAGCTACATTTGAGCTCTCAAATTTGAGAGTTACGTCCTTGCTCTCAAGGACGTAGCCAATTTATATATAAGGACGCACCAATCATTAAAAAACCCGACCTGCAGATTCTGATTTCGTTTGGTTTTTTTTCGTCTGAAAAAAATTTGAAATCAGAAGTTACTAAGTATAGCAACAGAGTTTCTAAATTGGCAACAGTGGGGTGACTATAGTTAAGCGCGCACGTGTAGACGTGACCTGATGGGTGGGTCTGTCAGTCAGTCCTCTCTCACTGCAGAGCAAAGAGACAGTGGTTGATTCTTAAAAAGTAGATAAAACTGGTGGATGAGATTGGCTTCACATGCAAGTACCAGCTGATCACCGATCTCCCAAAATAAAATAAATTGGGGTGGATTTATTGGTGCACCCCTATTATCATAAATGGCCTATACTTGTACAGCTCTTTATCAAGTCCAGAGGATCCCAGAGCACTTCACACTACACTCATTCAGTTATTCATGCACATATTTACACACTGATGGTGGCTAGTTACAGTATTCTAGCCAGCTGTGGCTTGTCCTGGGCAGACTGAAGAGGTGAATTATAGCTTATTCTAGTTCTATACTCCTGCTGCAACAACCAAGCCTCAGTCAATGCAACTAACCCCCCCAGGATAAAACTTTATTTACCTTTCTGAAGATCCTCTTTTAAGCTTTTCACCTGAAGCAGAAGAGGACTGCAAACCAAAAGACACAGTCATATCACACTCATTGAGTGTCAACAACAAATAAAAAAAGTTCAGAAAAACAATATAAGCCATCCAGATCATCATTTCTTGTTTTAAGTTATCTCACCTGTAGTCATCTATAGGGTGAGCAATCTCAATTATGTCTCCCAGGTTGACTTGAGGGAAGATTTTTGGGTTGACAACCAGCTCATCATCTGCTCAGTGAATAAGCTCATTTTCAATATAATCCCACAAAAACATTTACATCAATAGGTGCTGACTGAGGCATTCAAAGTTTCTTCTTACCACTTCCACCAAAACCTTTCTTGTGCACTACGAGTTTATAAGACTTATTTGTCTTCATGCTGGAAAAGCTAAAGAAAGAAAGGTTTGCCAATACAGGTTATTTTTCATTTAAGCTTAAACTAGAATAGTGTCCAACTAAAGTGTATATTACCCTTGAACATTTCAGATTTTTTCACATTATGAACGCAAATTATTTACACAGCCTCTCAAAGGTTTATAGAGCTGAAGTTTTACTGGGCCACATGAACATGCTTTGATCTAAACTACCTCTGGCTGGATGTTTAGCTAGACGTTAACTCTTGCAGCCTATAGCAGATTTTCGTCTATGACTGCACTGTATTTAGCTCCACGCAACTTCCCTATATAATAGCATCCCCACAGCACGATGCTATTGCTGTCATTTTTCACTGTGATGTCCAGTGTTAGTTTCTATAAATATAACATGTAGCCCCAAAAGTTTACGTTCCTTGATGCCTTGAACTAAGTGGATGCTGCAAGTACAATTTGAAAATATAAAAGCTAATACATTTATAAAAACGAATAAACACTACATGTAATCGTACCTGAAAACACTGGGAGCCCCAACTCCCAGAGGCAGCTTTGGAAAGTTGACGTTTGCCGTCTAGCATGGGACTCCGACAAAGCAGACGTGTAGAGTGTCAAATGACCACTACATTAATACGAACCCTTCAGAACAATTCGTGATGTTTCTATATATTCTCACATATTTTATTTTTAATATATTGAAAGCAATGAAAAACCGTTTAGGCTGTACCTATGTTTAGTCCTTTACTAGCTTGAAAAAGTCCCACAACACTTCCTCCAAATCTTTATCGTGATTGGCTCTCTACATGAGAAACACTGAAAGCTGTAGCGTGATTGGTTCTCTACGGTTTGAAGATTGTTCGTTTGAAAGAGTGCTCACTTCGGCTGTGTTATCAGTCGATCCTACTAAAAGTCTAAAACTCGGTGTGTGGAGCATTTTACAGCGTCAGCTTTAAAATAGCAATAAAAAATTACTTCTAACGCAAGTGGTTCTTAACAGCTGCCCAGGTTCAGCTGCTTAGAACCACTACCCTGTCATTTTTGGATGCATTTCTTCTCCAAAACACCTGAAATAAACAAATAGTTCGTTACTAGAGCTGAATTCATTCATCAGCTGAATTCTGATGAGTGAATTCAACAAATTCATTAGGCGTGTTGGGAAAAGGATAGATTTAAAAACTCCAGGACAGTAGCTCTGGAGCTTGGCACTCTTCCAATGGGAAAATGTAGTATATCCATTAATTAAACTTCCTCGCTTTCTGGCTTATTTACTCTTCTAGATCACAAATATGCTGCAAGCAGTAAACTCCTATTTGTAAAATATTTTACCATAATTCTTCCAAGTAAGTCTTAAACATTACACAACAGTGTCAATAGTAGGTTATTGCACACAGGTGGAAAATCTGACCAAATCTGTGGACAAATGTGTTGTTCTAATCAACTATTTGGGATTTTGGTCATTGCACTTGTGAACAAAACATTAAAAAGGACCAATTAAGGTTTAGTGTCCTTTTGGTCTATTGCACTGCACATTTTAGATGTGCCCTTGCTCCACAAATCCTGATTCAATTGACTGAATTACCTAGTCACCAACATTGAAAAGGTACCAGGGCCTCCTGACCCATTCATTCAAATGAGCTGTGTGTAATAGGGAAATGTTTAACCAGAGGTGGACCTAGCCTGTTTCCTGGCAACACAGCAGTGTAAGAGTCAATGATTTAAAATGCTGAACAGGCTGAAAAAGACTTAATCAGGAGGTCAATATGCAAAAATTTATGTCATTAAACAAAAACAATAATTGCAAACCCTGAGCATTACTCTAATAGAGTCTTCATTCAGGGGCTTGTTCAGGAGGAAAAATACTGATCTCTACATACGGAACCCTTGTTTATAAGAAACAGCTGCATTGCTTAGAATTTTTACCCATGTTTTAATTTATATCCATTCATCCATCCACTTCCACCAAAGTCCCCACCCTTGGCCACCACCCATCCCACACTGCACCTGATCCCCTTTGGCCCCTCCCACAGGTGGTGGTGGAAAGGGGGACCCATGTTTCCTCTTCAAGCTGTTCCTGGCCGAGGTCCATGCATTAAGGCCCGGCCACCAGGGGCTTGCTAGTGTGCCCCACCTGCAGGCCTGGCTCCACAATGGGGTCCCAGTGACCCACTTCCAGGCAACGGAACATTGTCTCCAACGATCTTCTTCATAAAGGGGTCATAGTTCATAAACATTTAGAACCATTCACATAACCATTACTTTTGAGACACATACATTTTATAATACATATTTCCTCTGTGCTTTACACAAGATGGATGAGACATAGTCCACTAAACACTGATTAAAGGAACAGACACTTTAGACTCAGAAAAACATAATACTTCTACTCACAGGAAGAATTTAAGCAAAGAAAATATCTGCCTTTTCCAAACAGTTCCTATAGTTTACTTTTAGAATAGTAAATCCATCTAAATCTGTATTTTATGTGCCTACTGTCCACATAATCAGGACATAATTGGAGTTTGTCATATAACATGCAATGTGAAAAACATTGGCAGTATCAACCCATTAAGATTTGATTGAATTATTTACAAACTTAGAAATACATGGTGGTTTGAGAAAGAAAAGAACATATAGAGTAAGCAATAAGGCACATGTCAGTCTGGTGGAACATGGCCAGTTACTTTGATTCTTGCAGCTGTATCTGTGAGAAGCAGCTCTCCTCAACAGGCAGACTATCAGCAGCAGCTTCTCCTCACCTCAGGATATGTGCCCTCTGCGAGAGTGATACGATCCGATTCTGACAAGACAAACATATTTATGTCTATACAAGAACTCTTATTGTGATTTTCTCTCTGGGATTAATAAAGTATATTCATTCATTCATTGTTAGTTTCTGACATTATCAGACTTATTTACTCACTGATAGCATTCCCACAGCCAATACTAGCTGGAACACCTTTCTCCATGTCCTTCATTATACAGTTTTCAAAAGCCAAACCAGCCACCCGAAAGAAAAATCCCTGCACGTTTTCCCCTGCAAATGACAGCAAATAATTCTAACAAAGACTTGTGTTGTACTCAGTGGATGGAAGCTGTTTAAACTGCAGCATATATGGAGTGAAAATAGTGTGTGCGTAAAAACATTTGTGCGTACGTAAAAATATCTGTGCATGTGTAATACTGGATTTATAAACCTTAAAAGTAAAATAAACCTCCTCCTATGCCTATAAATGTTGAAAAAGTACACACAAGTCACCTGGTACGCACGCAAAACTGCATTTACACACAAATGAGGTTACAAGTGGTATTTTTGAGACTCATTTCACATTTCAGGGAAGCTCCCAGATTGTGGTGTAGAAGGTGCATTTACATGCTAATAAAAGCTGGGCCATCTGAGTTTTGCTCCGAGTCTAGTGTTTTTATCCTCCGACGTTTCTCACTGTGCTTGTGCCAAAGTGGCAAATACGTTAATTCGGTGGAAAACTGTATATCTCAGCACTTCCTTATAATATCCTAAAATTATTAATAGACATATTGTGCATTTTTTAGCAGTACGGGAGACCAAGTGGTCTGAATAACAACCAATGGGTGGCGGAATGGTTTGCTGGCCAGAAAAATGACCTCTGACCTCATGATTTGGCTCATGTGCGTTAAAGAATAGACATCTAAAGGTTGGAGGACACCGACCCTTATGAACTGGGGTTAAAGCCCTGCTGTACAATTTTCATTCAACCATAGTCACAGTGGAAACTTTACCTGTGTTGAGGTAGATGAGGAGTATTAGTGTCTTTACTTTAAAACCATTTTGGTTTCCATTTGTTGAAAGTAAATTACAAACATTTAGCCATAGTTTGACCACTGCTTTATGACAGAAAAAAAACTTTGATGTCACAAATATGATTTTAATAGAGGCATCATTCAATTTATACTGTAGAAAGAAGATGACAAAAGTGTTTTCTGAATTAACTTCAATATTAATTTCACCGCACACAAAGGAGAGATTAAATATTTAAGATTGCAACAAATCTGTTGAATCTTTAACAAAATAGGTTCAGATTAACATGGGTGGATTCACAGCTACCTAAAGTTAACAATGAAATGTCTTCAAACTTACATGGATGTTCAAATATTTACTATAATCAATTAACAAAAGAAAACACCATAAAGCTGTGTATTCAAATACGACCAAGGTCAGTCTGTACAGATTGAGGAGACACCATAACATCTACCAACAGAGCAGGTTAACTACTGTAGTTGTTTGAAAGGTATCTTGGTTCAGTCGACGGCTCAGTTTGAAGCTTCAGGTTTTGGTGTTGAACCTCCTGGAATCTCAGCTGCTGCAGATTGGCTGAAGATGCAGAGAAAAGTACAAATAGACAGTGTTAGAAAAAATGATGTTGATTTTCCTGAACAGCTGAGGCACTGACAAACTTGACTGTGACTTGGCCTGTCATGATAACAAATTTTGCTGAGCGATTGTCTAAAAAATTATTGCGATAAATGATAATATTGTTTCAAGAC